CACTGATGATGATTGGTCGTTTTTGAATTCATACTCTCTCCATTTCGAGGGCCAGAAGGAAGTTGTGAAAAAGCTGACGTTGTGGGCGATAAAACCTTTTTAAAACCCTTTGGTGATTCAGTCTCTGCAGTGCGAAAGTTTTGTTTTCTTGGATCGATTTCTCCCTCTGATGTGTCTTCTTCTTCTTCTTTGACTTTGGCAGTGGAGGTTGTGTTTGGAAGAACTAATGGAAGTGAGGATCCTCGAGATTGACTAGTGGTAATTTCAGCGTTCAAGTGATTTGTAGGGATCTCAGACTGTGTTGAAACTTCAGCTGATGGTGAAGCTGGATAAGGTTCGGGAGGAGTACGACTTCGAGAGCGCCGGAAAGGGGAAGAAGATACTACCGTCTTCCTACCCACAGCTTTGGTCACATCAATTTCACCAGGTTGAGGAGAAGAGGGCGGAGCGGGCGATTGCGATAAACCAGCACCTCCCATAAGTAGAGATGGCGAGAAGGGTGGGAAGTACATCGAGTTCTTCCTCAGCTGTTCAACTTTTGGTTCAGCAGACTCACCCGAAACCGCTTTGTTGTCCTTCAGCTGTGTTTCATCTGATACACTATGCAATACGGCGGCAGGAGCAGGAACCAGGAGGGGAACCTTTTCTGCTTCATGATCATCATGATGCTTCTGATCAATGTCCATAATTTCCGGCTCATCAGTCATCATTTTACGCGGCTGATCATCCTTCAACTCGGAGACTTGCACCAGCTTGCGCAAAGGTGAAGTTTGTTGTGCTCGTACTTCAGAAGGACTCTCTGAGTCGATATCCATCGCTTGCGATTGTTGTTGATCAGTGATAGATTGAGTTTCTGAACTCGAGGGTCGAGATTCGGCTAAACGTAGTCGGTATGCTGCAAGTGAAAGTCTAGGACGGCGTGCTTCAGCTCGAGTAGGGACCTCTGGTTCCGGTTCTGCCTTGGCTACTGAGTCTTGAATTGGCTCAAGCGGGATTGAGAATTGTTCCGGAGATTCTAAAAGCCGATCACTCATTGTTGGCTGATCGACCGGTAGATGATTTGACTCATTTGACGTTGAACCCGCTTCTTCGACTGGTTCATGTTTTCCAGTGCTGAGATGATTGGCCTCCTCAGATTGAGCCTGATGGGGTTGTACATGTCAATTAGTATCGGACATGACCCCAAATTTGAAATGTTTGTCAAACCGAAACTTACATGGTGAATGGCTACAGCCTCATTTGACAAAGAGTGTCCATCTTGGAACGCTTCAAACTCTCGATATTCTCCTTCTTCTTCTTCATAAGAACCGGATATCGACATGTTCTCAATTGTACTCCCATCCAAGTCATCTTCTAAGAGTGCAATGTCATGAGGGACTTCAGCTACAGCCTTTGAAAGATTCTCACTCGTGATTAAATCGGCTGTCGGAAGGAAATGATTTCATTAGTTTGTGGCCTCTGATCAAACGAACCAGCGACAAAAAGACATACTTGGTTTCTTCTCCTCCTTTTCCAATTGACTCGTACTATCATTGACACCGAGTTCCGGTGCTTCAAGCGATTTTTGAATCATTTCCATCAAAGGCGTTGATTTCACCTCGTTTGGTACATCGACTTCCATCGAAGGCGCCTCTTCCACTGTTGTTGATACAATCGTGTCCACCAATGTCGTCTTTTCCTCTTTGTGTTCTTCAACTTTTTCTTCTTCTCTCATCCTATCATCCTTTTTGAGAACAGATGCAACTAATTCAAGTTTTCGAGGTGAAAGTGGTAAGAGTGGTTGATTGGGTTGATTATGTGGTAAAAGAGGTGGTAGACTAGAAAGAGGTGGTGGAGGTGGCTGTGAAAGCTTTCGACGTGTAGAATCAATCTCATTCGGTTTTGAGAATTTCAAGATTGGACTAGTTACCGTTCGGTTGCTATTGCTCAAAGGCTCTTGTACTCTTCGTGATCTGTAATCTTTGAGACTAATGCGCTTGGGTGGAGGTGGCTTCGGAACAAATGTCGGTTCCAGTTTGGGCTCTTCTGGTTCCAGTTGGGGCACCGGATTTTGCGCCGGCTCTGAATCTTCCGTGGGCACTGGCACTGGCACAGGTTCTGGTTGCGGTGCTGATAGTGGTTGTGGCGTCAGTTGCATGGGTCCTGGTTTTGATACTGGCACTGGGGCTGCTTCGGATTTCGGTGACACCAAAGGTTGATCTACCTTCCGAGGGACAGCCTCTAGAGAAAAGACCCCCAATCGGATCAGCAATGCTCATCAAAGATTTATCGATCAAGTACAGTCACTCACCAGCAACAAATGTTGAAAGATCGGTTGGTATGGGTATATCAGATTCTGGTGCGGAAAAAGTTACAAAAAAAGCTGCTCAACAGATGTGAACTATATATTGATGAATGGATATGTTCTGTTGCTTACCGATACCAGACATCGACACATCTTCGTGAGCTGGAGCGTCATTGATTTCTAACAAATGGTCAATCAAAACAATCAGCTATAATCACACCCAAGCAGATCACGCGATAACTTACTACCAGACGAATCACCGGTGATGTTTGATGGATTTGACACTGAAGTGGATTTTGTCGTGCGTGATCCGATATTGATGTGTGACTTATTATCATCATCGTCTTCATCTCCCGATTGATTTGACATAGAAGAAGAAGAGGGTGTCGAGGAGATCCTGGGAGCGCTATGGGAATTGGTATTTGTATCTTTCGTGTTTTTATCGTCAGTTGGCGAGGAAGAAGATGCGGAAGAAAGGATTACTCTTCCTTTTCTTCTTTTTACTGGGGGATGGATGATCTTGGGTTCAACAACTACACGACTTGGTGGAGATGGTTTGTTAGCGATCACTTTGGGTGGCTTCGGACGTTTTCCCTTACTCAACGATAACAAATCTTCATCACTTGAGCCCAAGACAATTGTTGAGGCATCTGAAGCTATGCATACTTCAACTTCTGAGCTGGCTTGATCAAACACAATGTCCTCCTCTTCCTCGTCTTCTACTTTTACTTCTGACGAGTGGGCATGTCCATTTTGTTTACCTACTTGAGGGCTTTCACGTGATGACTCCTGAACCACACCAGTCAGATTCTCTCCATCATCATCATCCACGATCATCGCTGGCGACGGTGGCTGTGGCATTGGAGAGGGATCGATGGGAGAAGGATCGATAGGAGCTGCCGAGGCGAGATCTTCCATTGGCAATGGCAAACCTGATGCTGGGGCCTCATCCATGATGATATCGCGCCCTTCGACTTTTTCAGTCACATCGACTTCTTGATCGACGTTCAGGTCCCCGTTGGCTAACACAGGATTCAAGCTGTCGGTCACGGAAATAGTCAAGTCCATCCCATCAGTATCTACAGGATCGGGCTCGCCATGTCTATCGACTACGCTTTCTACCGGTTCTTGTTCCGCTAGGGCCATGACTACATCATCATCGATGATCTCCTCTTTGACTGGCTGATCTGAGCTGATTTCGGTTGACTGCAGACGATCATCTTCTACTCGGAGTTGAGTCGGATCCTCTTGGGGTGATGGTGGCGCCGGTGTTGGAGTTAGCCGAAGGATTGGTGAGTGTGATGTTGCTTGTTCCTCATCAAGGTCACCTTTCGATTCCGGAGGTAGTGCCGGTGGAGGAGAACCTGCAATCATTTCTTGAGATCTAACCATATCACTTGCGACCACCTCATCTTCCGGTTCAAGAACTCGATCTTCGGTTTGATTGTTGCTGCCATTGTTATCATCGACCGAACGCCGGTCACTAATCGTATCACTAACTCTTCTTAGCTTACTGATAGCTGGGATTGAATTATCACTACCGCTCCTAGCACGTTTGTTACCTTTCTCAGTGATTGCCAAATCGATCCCCAATCCCTGCTCTTGAATTGAAGGTTGAAAGTTCCACCAATTCCTTTTGAGACCAAGCAGTGGGCCTAGATCAATCTTGTGTTTCTTGATCCGATTCGGATGAGTGACGTTGAAGTTATAATTTGTGAACGAAGGATAGGGTTGCAATAACCTTCCAGATTTGTTTGTGACACCATTCTGATTGGGTTGTTCAAGGAAAGAGTTAAGTACAATCCTTAGTTTCTCTTCAAACGTGTACGGTTCTGACTTTTCCTTCAAGTTTGACATGCTCAGTAAACTTGACGATCGTTGTTGTTCTTCAACTTCAGATCGAACTGGAAAGATAGGTAGGCCAGCACTCAAGCAACCAATCTTCCACATCAAATTGAGTGCACAGCTTCTTTTTTTCTCACAACCACAGATCGTTAATCCAAACAAGGTAAGTGTGATCGAGGCCATCTTCGAACTCAAAATCTTCAGATCGGAACTGGACCAGGGTAAAAAGTGTGATGCAGTGCTGATGGGTGATCGCTGTGGTGATGATTGTAATTGGCTTTCGAATGTATTGGAATGATTCAACAATCTAGGAAGAAGGTGAATTGTATGATGATCGTCCCAATCCCAAGGCAAAACGATCTCTTCCCGTCTTGAAATATCAGCTGCTGCGAACACCCCAAAAGTGACTTCCCAGGGTAAATGCAAGTCGTGATCTGAATGACAACCACACACTAAGGTTAGTTCTGTAAAGGTGTAGAGCAGAGGAGAGAGACATGAAACTATTAACCTAGTATTTCAGGTATTAAATCGCGTCCGTCAGCCATCTCTACCTTATCAACATGATGATCCGAATGCTGTGAGGGTGAACGATTGGATGGCGTATTCGAGCTGGAGCGGTTTTCTTCTGATACTGAAGGATGAGGGGTCAGGATGATATTGATAAACGCATTGGGATGACAACCGCTCCGGATGAATCGATTTTCATTGCCATACTGTCGACTATCGATCACTAAACCATCATTAGGAGTAGCCGCCATAGAATCCGATCGAGTTGACTTGAAGAACTTCACATGTGGTTTGTTGCACCCTATATTCGAATACTGATTGCAAAGATCTGACGTGTATTTCTTGAAAGTTGTGATAGAGCCTTTGAGACAACCGATGAAAGTTCCTCTGGCAATCGGATGAGTTGAGAAGACGCCATGTGTGATCAAGCGAGGTAAAGCTGACGTGCTGGTAGTTGCAGCAGTGGCCGCAAATGTCGGATAAAAAGGATTCGTAGCAAATGTTGGAGCAAAGTTGGTCGAGGCTAGTGTTATGATCTTGACGTTAAGTTTCAATGGTGAGGGTAACTCAGGCATGGTTACTGGCATAAAATGAGACTGGTCAAAGGCATGGTGGTTAGCTCGAGATCCTTTATGGTTGGGTTCGGCTGACTTGGGAAAAGTGTTGGGAGCAGATGGTGGTACGTTGGACTCTGGTGGGTAAAGTTCAGAGACGAATTCCGTCCCCGTTCTACTGACTTCGGGAGATGCAGTGTCCTCACTCGTAGCAAAGTGATCGCTTCCCTCAGGCTCTAGGGTAGCATCATGCAACGAGTTGCGATGAGATGACATGTGTTGAGCGACAAGTTGGCTGATCAGACTCTTCACATCGGTATCGAAATAACGATCTTTCGCAGTTGGCGTAAATTCATGTCGCCATGCTTCATACCTTTCATCTAAATCAACTTGATTGGACACCGATCCACTAGGAAGTGGGTTATCATAATCTACCCCATTACCGAGACTATTTGCATTCGAGATAGAAATGGGCTCCAATGTAGCCTTGGAGACTTGAGGTCGAGACTGGTTGGATTTGGTGGACCTTCGGCCAGGCTTTCGAGCGGGGATCTCCCGAGGTGCCAGCATAGTGTCCTTTGAAGCATTTTCCATGAGGCCACATAGGCCCAGAGTATTGAGATTTGTCTCAGTTCCAGGCGCCGGTTGCGCAGGTAGTGAAGTAATGCCAGCCGAGGTTAGGGGGATGGTCGGATGACTCTTGCTAGTCTTGCGTGAAGTACTTTGAGCTGTCTTTTCATTTGTGTTCAGATGTTGTGAATCTTTAGCTTTATTTTTGGTACTAGAACTATGTGAGTTGATAGATGTGGCGAGTTCTGCTCGCGAATCGCTGACAGATGTACTACTTGGTGCTCGGCTCATGACCACCGCACTGATAATTGGGGAGGCAACCACTGTTGCGTTCTCGAATACGGTTGTTCGGTAATATCGCTCGTTGATGGTGTCGTCGTCATTGACAGTGACTTGAGAGCCCCGGGAACGATTGGAGGCCTCTCGAATGATCCGCTCTCGCTGCAGGCGTTCAGCCCGATGGGCCATACCAGCCAGTTCTTTCCGGCGATCCAGAGAAGGCTCGCACTGATCGCAGAAGTAGTGCTCCGGGACCTATGCATGATGAATAGAGATATAAGATACGACATCAAATATAGAAAAAGTAAAACTTACCTCTTCGAAAGGGATGCCTACACACACTGCGTGTTGCCATACCTCGCAGGTTTCACATTGTATAGTAAAACCATCATCTGTCGTCACTGAGCAAATGCAACGAATCACACCATCGTCAAAGCTTTCGGTGCTTGACTGTTGTTCTGGTGATGCGGAGGTTTCTGGCCCATCATCTTCTTCAGATTTTCTTCTGGATGAGGAAGGGCGAGGAACGGATGAATCTGCATTGAGATTTGATTCTTCTACCCGGTTTCGATCAGTAGGACAAAGGCGATAATGCGAGGCTGGTGCATGGCCACCACTGGGAAGTTCTGAAGAAGGGTTCTGGATATGACCCGAAAGCGAGGGTTTAACGTCAATTGCTGGCACAGAGTGTGGTGGAGATGGTCGGAGTGGCTGTGAGGCCGGGTGCTCGGTTTCAGGCTCAGGAGAATAAACGGGAGAAAGAGTATGGCGAACGTCCACCGATGTAGGTCGTTGAGGGTAATCCGATGGAGAGTGGGGTGGAGGAAGTTGTCGAGAGACGTGATTGAGCTGAGGCGAGGCAAGCGCTGTAGAACACGAACCGTTAAAAAACATCAGAGAATGAATACATGACATGAGAGCCCACGGAATACTTACGGCTCCGGTGATCCTGCCGAAAGGCGTGAGAGGATGGAGGTGGATGTGGATGATAGGGAGATGTTGCTTCGAATTGATGATATTGTGATTGGCTACGGACAATTTGTGGGGAGAACTCAGCTTGGGATTGTGTCAACTCTTGAGTGATCATGTGAGATAGTTGGGATGATGATGGATGTGAGCGATCATAAGGTTTTTGAATGGGGCGTGGAGGCGGCTCGTGGGAGTTGATTTGATTGTACGAACTGTGACGACGCCCAGGATCAGTGAACGGAGCTGGTTCTTGAGGTGCGTAAGCAGGATTAAGACGATGCTGTTGAGCCTCATAAGTTTGTTGAAGTTCACCCTGACGTCGAATGATATCAGCGTGCTTCTGTGCTGCTTCAGACTGACGGCGATTCTCAGGTGATGGCAATTCTGATTGTTGTGTCATACTGGCCGAGCGAGGGTGTGATTGAGATGCAGAGACTGGGCGAGATGGGTGAGACTGATGAGATTGTTCATTCTGTTGTCGAAGAATGTCTTGCTGAGTTTGATAATGCATTTGTAAATGATGACGTTGGGTGGAAGTGTGTTGGGATGGGGGGACATAGGCTGATGCTGGGTGGATTGGTTGAGTTGAACTGAGTTGCTGTCTCGGGGAATTATGTGGTTGAGATCTAGATTGATGGCGAAGAGCGTCCGTCCTTGGATCGTGAGGTGAGATGCGCTCTTGTTCCTGAAAATATCGAGTTCGGTTATTCTCTTGGAGTTGGGGATGAGATTGAGAATGAGATGGTGGATATTGAGCATATTCTTGTGAAGGCAGTCTTGAGTCTCGCTGGATGGGTGACAAGTCTTGTTCAAATTGAGCATGAGATGAACGAGGGGTGCGATGGTGCTGATGAGGGGCAGATGATAAAATCCCGGTCAGCTGCTGAGGACGTCGAGCAAAAGATTCAGATGGTGTGAGCTCATCATACGAGTAGTGAGCCTGTGAGGAGAAATGATAAGGAGGAACATCTTTCGAAGCTTGTGATAGATGATGTGGATGTGGGCGTACGGATTCAGGAATTTGAGAGTTGATAAGAGAAGGTGAATGAGGATTGTTTCGATCGGGATGATGACGATAAAGATGATTCGACGGCGGCGGAGGATAGAGCTGATTTTGAGCTTGAATGGGAGATGTTTGTAGATGAAGTTCTGAAGGATTGGGTGGTACGCGCCTAGGTTCAGGATGATGCAATCGAGGTAGATTGGATGATGAGCTTGCTACAGGACGATGATGATGATGTTGCTGCTGCTGTTGAGAATGCATTTGACTGGTATTTGAATCATATTGAGGTAGGTCTGGATGAGGGTGATGAAAAGATGGAGATTGAGTGATGTGAAGATGTGGATTGATTGAGGATCGAGATGGATGAGGTGGAGGTTGGGAGGGATAGTTTGAATGAGACGTAATGGGTGGTAATTCGGTTCGATTGAAATGAGTTGAAGGGGATTGAGATGGTAGATGAGGTTGAAGACGATGACGTTGAGTTGAATTCAAAGGTGTACCGGTACTACTACTCCTACTTGATGGTCTTGATTGAATAGAGTAATGTGGAGGAGGAAGAGGTAAAGGAGAAGTAGGACTTGGTTGATAAGCCGCTGGATTGTTAGAGGAGATGATGTTATTAGTTGTTATTATCGGTTGATGATGTGATCGATGATGAGAATGTGAGTGATGGTTGTTACTAAGTTGATGAATGATAGCATTCCTCGTGGTAGTTGTCGAGTTAGGTGGATTAAGTTCAGGATTGTTTCTGATTCTTGTTGTAGTTCTACTGTTATTTTCTTCATTCCTTGAAGCTGAGCCAATGATGGAATGTTGATGACGTTGATGCTGACGATGATCTGAAGGTTCTGACATCGATTCTCTCCTCCAGTGATGATAGTATTGAATGTGAGTCTGATAATCAATTTACTTCTTGAATTGGTTTTTGGTTTTTAATTTTGAAATCGATCGTTGAGTTCCTGATTTCTTAATCCAAAACCACCGTTCTGACGGGTTAATGACAATGATCGATTCTTGAAGTCTTCTTGCTTGGTTTCGTTCATTTCTTGAAATCACATCATCATCATCATCATCATCATCATCATCATCATCATCATCATCCTGTTTGATAAGCTTCTCTTGAGTCTAGACTGAAGTTAAGGTTGGTTTTTTTATTTTGAAAACTTTTGATTTGATTCGATTAGTTCTTGACTGTTTACCAATTGGTTCTGGTCTGTTCGCTAATCAGATTCGATTTGATTCGATTCTCTAATATATACACACCACTTGGCCATCAATTCACCAATCACAATTCACAATTCAAATCAATCAATCTTCGACTCTTCACTCTTCAATCACTTCACTTCTATTTTTCATCAAACAGACAAATCAAATCAAATCAAATCAAATCAAATCAAATCAAATCAAAAGCTCGTAATGTCAAACAAACTCACTGAACAAACCAGCAACGAAAAGAATAACATCATGGGAATCGTCAAATCAGGCTGATTCTATCGTATGTCACCGAATTGAATTTGACCATACAATTCTACTGACAGCTACTCTTCTATGACAAGATACAGTTCATTCAAATCTCAAATTCAACTTTCAACTTTCAGTTCAATCCTATTCAATCACCAAATCCACATTCAATACACATCAACTACAAACTTAGTCTATCACACAGTTTCACTAAAGTTCTTCTTCTTCCTCAATCTTGTTACAATTCACTCTTCTCATCAAAACAAATCATCAGGTCCTACAGTGGGTAAACCCGAGTACGTGTTCCGACCTGCCCTGCAAAATCAAATTTCACCTTTCGGGTCAATGTCGGGGCACTCAATTTGAATGTTTGAGACTGGCACCCAGACCATTGAAAAGGCATTGCTTTGATGAATCTAGGAATATGGTTTTGGAGACCAAAAATATGATTTTACTCTTTTAGAGGTTTGGATTTTCGGACCTAGGCCTCAATTAGGTACCTATCTAGCTACTTAGCGGCGCACTAGGCCTATAATTTAATGAATATGGCTGCTCAAGTGGCAAATAACAACCAAATTTGCTTTTTTTTCAAAAAAAACCAAAAGTTTTGCAGCCTAACACCACCCCTCAACCTTACTCTCCCGCCAAAAAAAGCAGAAAAAATGGCAAAAATTTCTCAAAAATTTCGGACCCAAACCTCTATGCGGACTGGCTTGGAACACGTACTCGGGTTTACCCACTGTATTCACGCTCACACCCGGCGCCTTTTTCGTGGCCGTGGCCGTGGCCAGGGCCATGGCCTGGTGTGGTGTGGCCCAATGTGGCCTTCCCTTTTAACAACTTCAAATTCAGCCTGAGCCCCGACCCGAAAAACGCGGGTAACGGCCTGCCCGCACCCCGAACCGATATCCAGTAGGCTCCCCCGCGCCCGAACCCTACCCGAACCGATCAAAACCCGGCTTCCAGAAGGCCCCCCGACCCCTATCCCGAATGCCTAAAACCCGCGGGAAGCCGGGGGTCCCCGCGGATAAGATCGGGGGTTTGAGGACTAGCCCCCCCCGCCCCCGAACCCTACGGGCCCCCCAATGTACTGGGATCCCAAAAAAGGTGACCGAACCCGCACCCCGAGGGTTCGGGGCTCGGGGAACCCTTGGGGTGTCGGTCTCGGGGCTCAGCCTGACTTCAAATCCCCATTTTAAGCCCCTACTCCCTGCTTAAGGTGATCTTTAGGGGGGCTTCAACTGGATTTGATGCTCTGTGAAGGCCATGAAGGGCTTGGGGTGAGGGCCACGGTGTGGCCTAAGCCCTGGCCCTTGCCACGGCCCCTCCAGGGCGCCTCGTGGCTTCGTGGCTTTGTGGCACCGGGTGTGAGCGTGAGGTCCTATACATACAAGATTCTCAAACAGAACATTGAAAGAGGATGTTAAGCTTGGCTAATTTTCAAAGACTTGAACTGATCAAAACCCAATGTGCAGGTAGAAAGGCCAAGAAAGAAAATGAACCCAAAATTTCAAAACATTAACAAGAGTATCACCACCAGGCAACGTCAAAACCGCATCACCAAAAATAGTGGTGGTGCGGCGGAAGCGATGCGGCACTGCACTACTCAGCCCGTGCTTTTCTTGTAGTGGGTGACTGCGCAGCCCTATTGGAAAAGCCCAGAATCCTATAGTGGTATATTCGCTGTGCTCGAGCTTTTTGATAGCGTGTCCACATGTACAGCGGTACACATAGTGGCCACTAGGTGTATTTGTATTTGGAATATAAATACATACACACCCCAACTAAACACACTGGCTGTTTTGAACCGGTCATCCCGGTCAAGGACACTCCCGTCCCTTTTGAATCAACTCACCTCATACCTGGACTCAATCCACCTCCCCCACCAACCACCTCATCACGCATGCTCACAATTCAGAACACCGACAAGTGGTTGACAAATTTTATAACAAATGAAAACCACAAGTTCAACTTCAAATGGGATCAGACATCAAGTCGGTGAGTATAGAGATTTCAGAAGGTATAAAGGATCAAGCCGATTGCTGATGATACCCTTCCTCTGGTTCTTTTTCATAACTTTGTTTTGATCACAGTGTCCTTCAATCTCATCAATTTAAGTCTTTCATCCACTTTCATTTCCTTTCAATCCAAATCATTAGCCAAATCTTTATGCAACCATCAACATCATCGAATACTGGTCAGAGCACTTCAAAAGTGACTGACCGGCCCATTCAATCAAATTCTCGTATCAGTCTTGCTCCGCCATCAACAGACCCATGTGTAGCTCCCTCAGCACGGTTGCTCCGGCCTAGGACCCCTGTTCGGACTCAGCCAGGATTTGTAATGGTCTCCAGTGACTCACAACGGGCACTTCAAGTGGAACCTCTCTCTCCTGGACTCCCCGACTCAGTCTTTTCTGAAATGAACGCCGCTGTCAAGACCGAGAACGACATACCAGCTTCACCATCGCCATCGAGCCGCAAGAACAACAAGAGGAAGACGACTCAAGATTCATCAGTCAAGACAGGCAAAAGGGCCCGTAAGACCCCTGTAAGCATCTCATCTCCACTTTTTAATCTCTGTCTTTATTCTTCATTTTAATTTTCCACTCAATAATCTATTTCCATCTTCATTTTCAGATTGAGACTGTACCCGATTGTATCAATCTCGATCAAGACTCTGAAGATGAAGTTATCCCCAGCAGGCCTCGTACTGGTATCAGGGCATCACAGCTAGCTCGAGTTCGAGAGCTGCTCAAGTATTTTCACTCTCCGATCTATCCACAAGGCCAGGTCAGATTGTCCTCAGTTTCTTTATTTATTTGTTAGGATTTCGAAATCATTGATTTCTTTTACTTTTCTCATCTTTAGACCTCTGGTGATCCGAGATTGTACAGGTGTAGGTGGTGTCGTGGTCGATTTCTTAAAGGAATGGCCAGCTACTACAACCTATACGGACACCGAGATGGATGTAAAGGTTGTCCAGCATGCCCCAGACAATCAGCAGCCTTGGCTGCTGGGATGGACCTCCCTCCCTCCTGGCAGGAA